ACCTTGTCGGGGTGAACCTTCAAGCCCGAATTAGTTGCGTAGTGACCTATCAACGGGACTTCTTCTAAGCACAGTTGAAGTTTCTCCACCGCAAGCTTGACTCCACGCTGGGCACACCGCTGTAGAAAAGCGACAAGGCTTTTGTTGTGATCACAGACAGCTTCCTCATATGTGTCACCAAAACCAGCCACCACAAAATCATCTGCCGCAACTTCTGTGCCGGTGAGACCCTCGATCAGTTCATACATTCACCGCTGAAAGACCTCAGGGGCGGAACTTATGCCAAACAGCATCCTACATCAACGATACTGACCAAAGGGAGTATGAAACATGGTGAGATAAGAAGATTCCTCGTTCAACTTTATGTGCCAAAACCCATTTTTGGCGTCAAGGACTGTAAACACTTTAGCACCATGAAGATGAGTAGCAATATCCTCGATAGTGGGCATGGGATAGTTCTCATGAACAACTGCTTTATTCAGATCCTTTGGGTCGAGGCATATGCGAATTTTCCCATTCTTTTTGGGGACAGCCAACATAGAGGAGATCCAGGGTGTAGGTTTCGTGACCAGTACGATGACTCCAGAACTATGCAGCTCATCAAGGGTTTCTTTGATTTTAGCGCGAAGAGCAACCTGACCTCGTCGGGGAGCGTGCTGAACAGGCTTTGCTGATTCGTCGAGCCTGATGTGGTATTCGCCTTCCAGCACACCAAGCCCATCGTCAAAAACATCAGGAAACATCTCAAAAACTTGCTCTTTGGTAAGAATTTTAGAGCTAGAAACTGCGTCTTGAACGGAGAAAACGTCACCACCACTGGTATCAGGCTGTCTAATAGGGTCCGAGTCTTTGATTTCGACTACGCCCATTCCTTCGCATGTGGATTTGCCTAGAATTGGACGACAACGCTTGCTCTCCACCAGACGACACAACGGAAGACACGTAAAAGATCCACGCTGTACTTGGATCTTTACTGTTCCCAGAACCGGAATGCTTCCACCATCATAAGACACAATTGACGACTTCACTGGGTTAACATTCTCAAGGCGGTAGTCGCCAGTTGCCTTCTTGTAGCTATGAACCGGTAAAACATTGCAACGGGCACCAGTGTCGATCTCAAAGCGTATGAAGTTCCCGTATGAAGCGTCACGAGGTTCGAGTCGGAGCTCTGACTCGCCGAGACTTTGAACACCTGGAAAACGGGATACTCGTCCTCNTCTTCTTTGTTGACTTTAGCCGCTACACTGTAGTGAAGCCACATTTCCTTCCATTCATTCCATTTCTCAGCGACGTTGGAGTCATTAATATCGAGAGCATGAGGCGCAGGCAACGACTGAAGATAAGCCATTGGAGATCAAGCCACTCCTGACACCATGTAACGAGAGATAACGGTAAAATGTTGTCTTTAATGGCGCATAAACAGCGCTAGCCGTTACATTGCGAAACTGACCGCAAAACGCATAAATTACAAGACTGCATCTTAAATGCCGCATATGTGCACGTGCACTTACGAAAATAACAACAATCATAATAACACGTAATTACGGGTATGCATAGTTCGTCACAGTCCTTGTAAAGTTCATCACCTCGGAACATCAACCCAACATTTTAGGGTAAGAGAGATTAATACTAATTGCCAATAATAACGTTTGCAAGAAACAAGAGTGAAGAAAAAGAGGAATAAGGAAGATTATGTGTCAAAAAGCTACATAACTATGGAAAGAGCCCCTTATTAATTTTCCTTAGAGTTTCCTTCAAAGTGTAATAGACCAATTTCGATGTATTAAAATTCAGCTTAACACAATAGACCTCAGCACGAGGCTCTGGGGAATAAATCCCACAAACTCTGTAGTTATTCTTCAGAGCCTCGTACTGAGGTCTATTGTTTTAGGCTGAATTTTGGTATATCGAAATTAGTCTATTACCGGTAATCACGCTCTCCTGTCTCAGTTAGGAGTGGTGCAATCCCCATAGAGTACCTACCGTACCTTGCACTGGATATACAGTCCAGCAAAGGAAGGAACTCTCTTGGTAGAACTCTAGGAGTGGATGATTCAACCTTGAGTGGCATTGACAAAGACCACGATGAAGATTATGAGCGTTGTTACAAGATGTTAAAACGTTGGCATCAGCAAAGTGGCACTGCTCTATTTAAAGACCTTGCAGAAGCCTTAAAGGAGTGTGATCTGTGCGATATTGCGACACAATACTGTTATGAGGAAAATGATCTACCAACGCAGAAAAATCAGGTGGTATCAGGTAAGCCTACAGTGATTCAGAGTCTGTATTGAGAAAAATGAGCTCTCTTCTCCTTATACCAGAATGATATGCTTAAATTGTGTGGAGCAACTAGTTTTTTGCTGTTATATAATGCTGCGTTTCTTTGTCTTGACACTGACTTTGATAAATTCTTTTAACCCATGTACAGTTTTTTTCCTTGGGAAAGTTGCTCAATACACTCTTTTTCCCTTAAGAGTATTGTTTTTTTCTGGTCTAGGCTGAATACTCTTATTTTAGGCTGAAAAATTCTTGTGAATATTCTTGGATTACAGTTAAAGGAATACCAAGTGAACTATACCTATAGAATGTCAGATTTGCTGTCCTACCATGATTTTGATGAGACTGAAGTAATTTTGGAGTTATTGCTGGGTTTTGGTGTTTTCTAGCTACAATGGGCGACAAAAGTGTTGAGACGCTTGGCAGTAAAACTCGATTTTTTAGTGACTTGGAAACATTTCCCCCCTTCCCCTCCAAACAATGTTGATTTCTCTATTTCTTAGACAGCACAGACCACAGCGCCTACACAACATTGAATTGTGGGGCCAGGGGTATCAGAGAATTAACGCTAGATGCAAATAAAATAGAATAAGAGCCTTATTAAGAGGTTGAATATCGAAAAGCGCTATTTTCTTAACGTGTCTCAACTACTTTTGTCGCGCAATGTAGTTTTACCGTTTAGAGAAAGGAAAACTTGAAATACGGTTTAGTTAAAAACATATTAATTGCATATAGTATATACAAATTTTCAACACACCATTAGAACACAGCCCTTTCTTCTAAAAATATTCTTAAATTTCAGGCTCAATATTCTTGTAAAATAAATTCTTGTAAAAAGAGAAAAAGATTAGTTTTTTTGGAAGGGTTTCTGGTCTTGGCATGAGACTGATGAAGTTACCTATAACAATTTTTGAGTTATTTTTTTTTGTAAAAAAAATACCTCTTAGTCGGCGCGTCGGGTATGTTATGGACGGGTCAATGGATGAGTGAGTGAGAGATGTATGTATGTCACACCAA